GTGCAGAATTTGGCTTAAAGGTGTCATTTCCCAGTATTTGATGAATGTAAATATATGAAAGTTTGTAAACAAGGCGGCTGCAGCTCCTGCCTTCTGGGGTGTGCAGTGACGCAAAACGCAGCCGTTCTTTAGAGCCTCGACGAGGAGGTTGTTCAGATGAAGGTGGTGACAGTGTGTCATGGTTGTGATAATGAAAGGCACCCAAGAACTCTGATGTTGCAGAAACAGTTTCTCTGTTGACCCATCTGCTGCCCGAGAGAGAAACATTCCCTCTCACGTGGCGTGCTTCTGTAGTATTTCTAGATGATTAAAAACAACCCGAGGTTTGTGGGCTTTTTCACATTTATGCTGTTTGGAAATCACACAAACTGGTCGTTTATGTTGCGTTAGTTGGCACGAAGTCGTCTATTTACAGTATGTGTGTGAAGCTTTCTGTCCTTGCATGTAAATCCCAGCACTCTGCAGCTCTGACGAACTGTTTATCAGCCTTAGTTAAAGCCATGTAAGGCCTGCTGCCAGTGGTCAGCAGTCTTGTGACTGGAGGCTCTCTCCTCCTCTTTTTACCTTCCGCCCCTCAAACATAAACCTGCCGGTGGCAAACATTACGCAAGATTTTTTGGCTCAATCCCTGTAGCCAAGAGCACACAGTGTAGTCGAGGCTTTCCGCGGGCAAACAAGATCCCACTTGGAAGTGTTTGGGTTGTGCGGGAGTCACTACAGGTCGGGGTGGGGGGAGACTGGAGTGGGCTGTCACACGAATACCTGTTGACAACACATTGAAGATGTAAAAGGCGCTCATGCACGAAAGGTTCCAGGAGAGATAGTCTTCTCTTTTTAGTTTGAGGCATTCCAGTCTGAAATCTAATACAACAGAGGTTGTTGTGCACATACCAGTACATCCAGAGAGGAGTCCACAGTGTTCTTCCAAAAAGTCAGGCTGATTCTTTTTCTCTCTTTTTTTTNAGTTGACTGTGCTGAAGTCTGCTGAAGGAGCTAAAACAGGGTTTTTAAAGGAGCAGAACACTAGCTGAAGGCTAAAAAACAAAACGCTGCATAAAGACTAACAGAACAAAGAACAGACACTGAAGGCTAAAAGAAACATAAAATTAGCTAAATGCTGAAAGAAGCAGAACACAAGCTAAAGGCTAAAAGCAGCGGAACATTAGATAAAGGCTAAAAGAAGCAGATTACAAGCTAAAGGCTAAAAGAAGCAGAACACAAGCTAAAGGCTAAAAGCAGCAGAACACAAGCTAAAGGCTAAAAGCAGCAGAACATTAGCTAAAGCCTAAAAGAAGCAGATCACAAGCTAAAGGCTAAAAGAAGCAGATCACAAGCTAAAGGCTAAAAGAAGCAGATCACAAGCTAAAGACTAAAAGAAACAGATCATAAGCTAAAGCTAAAAGTAGCAGAACATTAGATAAATGCTAAATGAAGTAGATCACAAGCTAAAGCTAAAAGAAGCAGATCACAAGCTAAAGGCTAAAAGAAGCAGATCACAAGCTAAAGGCTAAAAGAAGCAGATCAAAAGCTAAAGGACAACAGAACACAAGCTAAAGGCTAAAAGCAGCAGAACATTAGATAAAGGCTAAACGAAGTAGATCACAAGCTAAAGGCTAAAAGAAGCAGATCACAAGCTAAAGGCTAAAAGCAGCAGAACACAAGCTAAAGGCTAAAAGCAGCAGAACATTAGATAAAGGCTCAAAGAAGCAGATCACAAGCTAAAGGCTAAAAACAACAGAACACAAGCTAAAGGCTAAAAGTAGCAAAACAGATAAAGACTGAAAGAAGCAGAACATTAGCTAAGGTTTAAAGAAGCAGATCACAAGCTAAAGGCCAAAATCAACACAACACAAGCTAAAGGCAAAAAGCAGCAGAACATTAGATTAAGACTGAAAGAAGCAGATCACAAGCTAAAGGCTAAAAACAGCAGAACACAAGCTAAAGGCTGAAAGAAGCAGAGCATTAGTTAAAGGCTAAAAGAAGCAGAACAGTAGGTAAAGGCTACGCAAAGCATAATAGTTGCTGAAGTCTGAAAAACAGAACACTCATTAAAAGCTAAAAGAAGTAGATCACAAGCTAAAGGCTAAAAGAAGACATAAGCTAAGGCTATAAAAAGCAGAACACTAGTTAATACACAAATGGCTAAAACAACAGAGAACGATGAATTGTTTTTTGCACAATAAACAAAGATAGATAATTTCTTTAGCTGCAGAGAATGTGTAAATATAAAACACTAAAACAGGAAGGCTGAACCTGCAGAATTTATAAGAAAACCCAGTCTCGCTGTGTGGACATTGATGGGAGCACAGGTGAAAACCTGTTTTTGCACCTTCATTCACGAGAGTGACAAACCTGCAGCGTACATTCGTCAGATTCACGTCATGCATGTGTCAAAGGCCAAGACGATCAGTGAGCCACACGTAGCCTGAARACGTGCACGGTTACAATCATCTGCATACTTGACTGGAGCTGGAAGGTCGCGGYGCCCCTGAGCGCCGATGACACCTCAGGGTAAACCCTTCCACGAACAAAATACGACTTAAGAGAAAGCGGCTTCCAGTTGGGAAGACACATAAACAYAGCTTCTGGCAGAAACAAATGAGTTTCAGGTTTTACAGGATGCTGGTTGGACGACTGTTACACACGCAAAAAAATAACTCTCTTGACGCAAAGTTGCCAAAACATTTCGCAACAGCTTTTATTTGGCTCCAACTTTGCTCATGCAGAGTTTTAGAAATGCTTTTGTGTTCAGTTCTTTTTGTTTTTTGCACTTTGCTCTTTGTTACCTAACTATGTGAAACAAACTATTTTGAAATCAGTCCTGCTTTTAAACTTYTGGAATGCCGTTTGAAATGGGAAAACTGAGGTCAGCTCAAAAAAAAAACACGAATAACTTGCTGTAATGACTTTATATTTTCCTCAGAAGATCTTTTTAGTGCAGGAACAGCACTTTTGGTGATTCTGAAGGAGATGTTTGGATAGTTTCCTTGTTATTTCATCATCTGTCAAAAGAGGAAGCTGTGTCGCTAAAGATCCTAAAAATTCCTTTGTCTCTGGGCCCTTTTTCAATGTGTCATCATCTTGCTGAACCTGAAATTAATAACGTTTGGATCTCCTCCAGCTGCGCCAACGTGAGGCGTCTGAATCACGTGCCTCAGAAGAACCGTTACGGGTGTSTGTGAAGAACCCAGGGCCTGCTCAGTCACATTATCTTTACATTTTACTTATAATATTAAATAACCACCATCCAAAACAAAAGTCAGACATTTTTGCTGCATGAAAATAAAACCGGCGAGGGGTTCATTTGACTGGCTGCAGCCACAAATCCCCTCTCCCGCCTTGTTCATCCTCACTTTTTGTCACTGCGGAGCCCTTTAAGGCTTTCTGGTACATTCCAGAAGAAAAACACACAGTGAGGGAGGGAGGGAGGAGAAGAGGAGCAAAAGGCGGGCTGGTTTTGGCACATCTCACACGTAGAACGCAGAGGGAGGAGCCTGTAGGGGCAGCGAGGAGAGAAGGAACAATCCTGTAAAAGGATCAGGTTGCAGGAGGCAATGAGGTCGCCCCTGTGGGTGATGTTACTGTGGCAGCAGGTTACATCATGTTTGTTTTTCTAAAAAAAAAAAACAACATGTACGAATCAATCCAAGCCTTGTGTTGAGTGAAAGAGATGAAACTATGTTTTCCACACAGGCAGAAATGCAAGTGGATTCAGAACATTCCCTTGGACGGTCATTGTGGTCRTACATGTATTGCGGTTGAGGTCAGAGAGGGGTTATTTTTGAACTGGGGATTTCCCAGTGGGAAAAACTCCACCTGCTTTCACTCCAACACTCACACTGGAATGACCGAACAAACATTAAAGTGTTTTAGGACGGTAACACTTGTTTCATCCGGCTCGAACCGTCTTAGCATCGACACGAGGAGCCAATCATAGCCATTATTAGAAGAAGAGGACTGTGAAATGTTACAGTTGTGATCGTGGATCGATGTCAGCCTTCAACAGGAACATGGCAGCAGCACGTGCGARGTGTCGGTGTCAGCGAGTTTGTGCCCCCACGGCTATTTCAGTGTTTGAGAAGCCCTCATCGTGTGGGAGGAAGAGGAGTGGCAGCGATCATCTCTAAACCTATCCTTTAGTTGTGACTCAAGCGCAAAACTCCTATTTCTTATCGCTAAGTTTGATTAAAAAAAACATTACTTTCTTCCCCTCAGAAATAAATTGAGATCTTTTTGCTTCCTTTAGCTACCTTTAGCTAGCATTTTGCTCATGTTCCGCTACTTTTAGCTTTAAAGAAGACATGTCCTACTTTTAAATCCTTTTTTCTTCATTTAAATCCTTCAGGTCTACATAAAGTGGAACTGCAATGCTTTGGTCTGAGTTCCTCCTTATTGTAACTCCACAAGCCCCCCGTTTCTGAGGTCTCAGATTGACTCGTTTTGATGCCATCTCTTGAAATCCAAACCCTGCCTCCCTCCAGCTTCCAGATTGGTCCATTCTAGTTTGATAGAGGGGTTCACGACTATATAGCGGTGCAGAAACATTTTATTTACAAATGAATTAAAAGSTAACAAGGGAAGACTCCATCCAGCCTTACATGTTGGAGCCAGAGTCTGACCCAGAGCCAGAGGAGAATGAAGACCACCAAACTGTTGTTGGGTCAGTCCAGACTTCTTCTTTTTTTTTTTTGGCAGTTACGTCACAAATATCGATGTAACATTTCAGAAAATGTCATAGAAAATAGAGAAAACTGAACAGAATATAAAAATATTTACGCAGCACTGGGAGAAACTAAGCTCAAATTTTCCACAGTACACAACAAAATGTATTTAATGGCTAAAAATRTGGATTTTGCATACGTCTCCTTTGACATAGTTTCAGCTTCTTTAGCAAAGTCGTCCAGCGCTCAGCAGTCTCACTGCCCTTATACAGAAAATTGTTTCTTTAGTTCTATTGGAATTCTTATAAACTCAGCACAGAAGAAAATTTGTTTAGTAGATAATTTCTTTGTTGTAACGATGCTYCTTGGCAATATGTCCGGATGCAGCTCAGTAAWYCAGGTAGAAAAAAAAAGTAGGTCCTCTGGATGGGTTCTTCTATTGTGAAACGTTTCGTTGAACGTTGAACCCCCGCTTGCATTCACATGACACGACACRGGTCAGKTGATGGGGCACATGACCCTCTATGAACAATAGAGCTAATCAAGCCTATTGTTAGGCGATGGCCCTATTTTGCATGTGGCTAACCTGTTTGTCCATGTGGAGGCAGTGCTTATAAGGCTGAGTTCACCTGAAACTCATCAGACTGAAGAAGTCTYTTGGAMGAGAGACGAAATRTTTCAYTAAACAAGAACTCATCCAGAGGACCTACTTWTTTTTTTGTTTTTGACTTCATGGTAATAAGCCTTATAACATAAGAAAGCCTTTTAATTTCCATTTTAAATGGTGCCACATATGTGGGTTGAGCACATGGAGAATTTGTCAAATCTTCTCTGCCAAGCAGCTAATTTTGCTGTAGGTACTGACACTTGTTTTGAGCTTCTGGTCCCCCCCCAGGTGCTGCTAACCAGGTGCCCCGTCTAAGATTAATTTGTTACAACATAGAAACTATACYGAACACAAATGTCCTTACTTCTTGTGTTAAGTTTATTTGGATCAAGTCATAAAGTTCTCAGTTGTTTTGGTTTTTGTAACTTAAAGGTATACCTTGGTGTTTGTTTGCAATGCTTTATAATACATGACTCCTTTTGTTTTTGCTGGTGTCTGTGTGGAAGCTTGTGTGGGTGTGTTCGATTGTCTGCAAACTGACACCGATGCTAATGAAACTCAGGAAGTAAACACTGGATCGACATCTAGAACTTTAGAGTCAACTCAGCTCCAGACGGCCACCACTTCMACATGAGCAACATCTCTTAAAAAGTTCATTTAATCAATCAAATGTCAGGACTGAGCRTTGCCTCTAAACCTGCTTTGTTTTTTTTCCCCACCTTCAAACACATTCAGGACCGGTTCTGACCCGATTGCACAGAACAGGGATCATTCATAACAAACCGCCCTCTGTGTTCGTCACAGTACAGTCTGGCCTGTTTCTTACGTAAGCGGCTCAGTCCAAATCAGGTTTGTGACTAAAACTGCTCCACTGGGCAGATCTTGTAAGAGCTGCAGCAGTTAAATGTAGGATAACAGGATTTGCATCAATAAGAGTAGTTTTTGGTGTCTGACGCCACCTGGTGGTTGTATTTTTTTACTTTTTGGAGCGTGATTGAATCCTGAGCGATGTTACGTGAGGTTTAGGTCTCGTGTGACCTTCATCTGTCAAGCGTATCTGCAACAAACACCAGCAGGTTTGACATCTGAGAAGCTGCCGGGTGGCTGGAGGCCCAGAGTGTAACGCAAGACGGMCCGGATCACGTCTGAGTCACCAGCACGCCATCACCGATTTGATCAGTTTTAAAATGATCTCATGATAAAAACCTAATACATGCATGTGTTTATGTTAACATGCTTGATGTATACTTTTATATTTTGTATGTCTGAAATAAAAAAAMACATTTGATTACAGTAAAACTGAAATATTTTACCTACAAGAAAAAAAAATTCGGATTATGTGAAGCTGCTTTACTTAAAACCAGTCAGTTTTTATTTAAATATTAATGGACTAATTCAAAATAATAACAGAGAAGAGATCACTTTAATGTTGCAACATGATTTTATAATCTTACAGTAAGAAATCGTCCTAATTTGAGATCATTTTAAATCAAAGAGAAAGTTGATAGTATCCTGGAATGATTGCAGTTCAAATAAAAATAGAAAAACATAAACACAAACATACACCTTTTAATACTGTGCTGCAATACGAAGTCTGAATGGATTTTTCTCTTTTTTTTTTAAAAGGAACAGAACGCCTCACTCTTCAAGGTTCTTTGTTAAAACCTACAGTATGTGGCTAAAATAGATTACAGTACTTAAATATAAAAATAGACTCTGAATTTGTTTGCTCTTCGCACTCGGGTTCAGTCTTGAAGATGGACGGAGGCGTTCATCCGACGTGTCCGCAGGTCCCTCAGTGGCACATTCGAGCAGTCATCTCTTTCTGYACACAACACAGATCAGAGAAAAACACAATATAATCTGGAAAATCTGTASAAGAAGAAAATGTTTTATATATAAACTAATGGGGGAAAAAAGGCCAGGTTTTAGAGTAAAATGCAACAGATCAGAGCAGAAGAAAGAGCTATTCAGGAGGGAGTACAGCTTGCACTAATCACATGAGAAGAAAATGACGAATCACAACAGAAATTAGGTCAACGAAAAGGTCAAATGATTGCAGAGACCTATTTCCAGATCAGAGAAATGTCTAACACACAGCATAAAAACATCAGATTCATAAATCCTTCAGCGGGAGGAAAAGAGCATTAACAACCCACCCAGCAGCGTAATTATCAGCTGACAGGGTGTGCAGTAAAAAAGTTTTAAATCAACACATAAAACCGGATTTTGCTTTTTTAATTATGGAGAAAATGCAAACTGAATCATGGCAGTGGAATTGCGATAAGTCTGTTTTCAAAAGCGACATGAAATAAAAGTCCTTCATGGTTCGCTTGTTTACCTGCATGGGTGGAAATTTCCATGTTTGTTTTTATCAGCTGGAAAGCTTCAGCAGCAGCAAATTAGTTTACATAATGCAGATTGGGTTATTCCTGCTCAACAGCATGAGTCAACAAGGTGCTAATTCCTTTTAGCTCCTAATAAAGTGACAAGTTTATTTGACTTATTTTTTTTTTACACGAATTTCAGCAATTTAAACATTTAATTTAAATGAAATAGCAGGGATGTGCACATTAATGTAGGTGGAATAGGTAAGTTTTTAATAAAAAAAAAAGAAATTTTAGCTAGTGTTTATAACCACTGCTGCTCTTCTACAGTTTGACCACGAAGCTCACCAGTTTCCTTCTGCTCTTTTAAATGTTGCTACACAACACAGCAGCTAAAATATCTCTGTGAAATGAACCAAAGATATAAGGAAGTCATTCAGTTTAAGATGTGTTTTATATACAAAATTTTTAATGAACAGTTTATTTTGATTCTATGATTCCGAATAATGTAAAAYCTGCTTCAGAACACTACTTTACTTTTCTCTCTTTAAGATACTTTTAGGTACCATTCAACTTCCTAAAATGATCCTTTTCCTGATTTTGGCTTACATTTACTTCTGCTACTTCTAGCTTGTATTCAACTAATTTTAGCCAGTGTATTATAGGRCTGTGTATTGGCAAGAATTTGGCGATACGATACATATCATAACAGAGGGGTCACGATACGATATATCCCGATATATTGCARTAATGTAAACAAGACAATATATTGCRATGTTTTTGTCCAAAAATTCTATTAAATAAAAACATCTTATTGAAATTAAAAAAAGAAAAGCTAATGTTTACTTACAATGCTAATGCTACACTTACTCTCTGGTGCTCAAGAGGTAGAGGAGCCAAATGGCTGGCTCACTGCTGCCAACTAGTGGTCAGAGGCTGAACTACAACATAAAAATGAACGGTTGGCAAGAAGGTTGACATTTTAAACCTTAATTAAAAATCAATACAGGGCTTTAGAATATCGATACAGTATAGGGAAATTAAATCTCGTGATATTTCAGTGTATCRATATTTTCTTACACTCCTAATGTATTACAACTGTTACTGAGCATTTTGAGACTTTTACTGTTTACATAACTTCCCTTGTTCTAAYTAGCATTTTACTCATTTTAACTAGCATTTTGCTACTTAAAGCTCTTAGATTGTCTTTTACAGAGGTCTATAAAGTACTTGAGAAAAATAACTAAGTAAAAGTAAAATTACATGTACAGAAAAGGACTTTGGTAAAAATACATTTCACTGATGAGAAAACTACTTAAGTAAAAGTAATAAAACTGTTCMCAAAAATTGGGAAAGTAAAAGTAAAAGTAGTTCTACACACTCTCTAATAAATAAATTGTTGAATTTACTGACCCAAACTGGTTCCAATAAGCCAGGTTGAGTAAATTGAGCAATATATGTATGTTATTTGCTCAATTTACTCAACTAATCTTAGTGGGAACAGTTGACATGACTTTGTTGAGTAAATCCAACACATCATTTTTTTTAGAGTGTACAATCATCTTCTTTCATGAGTTCAAACATATTTAATTTTGTAATGAGTAACTAGGTGTTACTTCGTTACATTTTAAAGCAAAGAAGTAATTTTTAGCTTTAAAATGTAACAAAGTAAAAGTAGCTATTTAAAAAAATAGTTGGTAAAATTACAAAACCTGAAAACTGTTACTGTTACAAAGTAAATGTACTTAGTTACTATAAACCTCTGGTCTTTTRTTACGTTTAGTTTTAAGCTGGGTTTTGCTACTTTTAGGGTATTGTTTTCTTTAGCTAGCATTTTGCTTCTTCTAGCTACTTTTAATTAGCATTTTGCTATCCTAGCTTTAAACTGGGGTTTTCTACATTTAGCTAGCATTTTGCAACATTTAGACCGTGTTCTGCTACCTCTAACAAGAAAGTTGTTAACATTTAGCTTTCAGTTAGTTTGCTCCATTCAGTTTTTAGCAAGCATTTTTCTCCTTTTAGCTTTTACTTAGTGTTTTCCTTCTTTTAATTTTGACAACTCAATTTCAACTTTCTCAAATTTCAGCAGTCACTTAGCACTCAACACTTGCATTTAAAAAAATGCTGTTTCTGTAGTTCTAGTTTGCCTCATGATGTCAACACATTTACACTTTTATTCCTGTTTTTTTTTTTAAGTCTTCAGCTTCCTGTTTCCTTTGACTCACCAGAGGTTCCAGCTCTTTGTGGTCCGTCAGGTTGAACTCGGTGACAAAGTAATAGAAATGCTTGTAGCAGGTGTTGACGTGAGCCTCGGCACCCATCTGGGTGACACGGTCGAAGTGGTGGATGTAGACGTGGACGAACACCCGGAACAGACGTGACAAAATCTTCTTRGCCACCTGCATGAAGCACTTAGGGAAGGGAGTACCTGGGAGWGGAGCGGAGGGAGAACACTGCGGTCAACCCTACGAGGCTCAGTTTGTTTTAAACTCTTTGCACCACAGAAGAAAAATGCATCTAAWATAAAGTCAGGTCAACTGTTCTGTGTTAATCTTCCCTCCCACAGATTAAACACCAGCTGGCTAAAGGATGTAGCTAGCGTTACCTCGTGAGAATCAACACGACTTGATCTGCAGGATAAACCTCAGCTCTTGGGGCAAGATATCCATTTAATGCRTTGTTTCGCTTTGACCAAATTAACAGCATTGGAGGAATTAGTTTGAGAGTGCGAGCACATGGGAGGCCGTTTCTAATCACGGAGCACTGGACATGGTGTGACACATTTTTTAATCCACTGGCTGGATGTTTCTGTTGTTAAGTCAGCTGCTGAGCCGTAGCACGGGGCATGCAGACATGCACAGAGATATTATCTGACCGAGAAGGCCCCCGACACAGATTAACTCAATCTGTAATGTTTGCGATGTGAAGCTCGGCAGGTAGTCTGATGAATGTGGCCTTGCAGAAATTCTACAAAAAGCGCCACGTTTTGAATGCCTCTATTCTCTTTGTGACATTGTGTGCCCTTTTTTTTTAGATTTCCTGTGTGACTCGAGCTCAGTAAATTTGGCTAAAGATTATCCATTTAAGTCAGCTATTAACTACAAGTAAAAAAAGTTGACTCTGGATTTTGATCCTTAAAACAATTTCAACAACCTTCACGCATCACATAAAAACATGGTAGACTTTTAAAACAGGCTCTGTAAATGATAATAAAATAAAATCCCATTTTATTTTCAAGCAAACTGTTTCTTCATGCTTGTTTTCTGTTTATCATTTAAGCTCCATTATAGGGTCAGACACCCACAGGGGCAACCAACCAGATAAAGTACAAACACATCAATTATTTATTTTATTCGTTTAATAACCGAGACAAATTAATAGACTGAGCATCCGCAGACATTGGACACACCATGGCTTGACTGGATTTGAATAAACCCGTTTAGGTGGATGGTCACCATACTTAAAAAAAAAGCACACTCCATGGACACATTCATTCTGGTTTTAGCTCAGTGATGAGTCCACTAAAACCACGAGTGTGATCTTATTGAATGCAGGATCGGTGTGTAGCATGACCTGCTGTGTCAAACAATGCAGTTTTTTTTGTAAAAATAAATAAAAACACTTTGTGAGACTAAATTATCTTGGCCCAAACAGAACGATTAAGAACAGAACAAAGAAAACTACAAACAGAGGCAAGATATAAAACAGGAAGTTTTCTCCAACATGATAAACTTGTTTCCTGTGTCTACAGATACATTTAAATGAGATCCACCTGTGGGAAATCTAACAAATTTAGTGGCTTTTGAATATAATAATCGAGGGCGTTAAAACTAAAGGGGTGGATTCATATGAAAGCACCACATTTAATTAATCTGGAGTGTTTATTTATTTATTTTTTTGCAGAATTATTATAATCAAATAATCCACTGATTTTCTCTGTGTGGAGGGAATGATCTCTGGCCTCGGGGCTGAATATTTACCGTATTTATTCATGTATAACACTGGTTCTCAACCTTTTCAGACTTGTGTACCCGCTGAGCCATTTTTCCATACCACTAGTACCCCCTCAATCAAACGTAATGATGATTCTCCAAAATTATTTATTTAACCCCCTCAACTCAAACAAAGATAAACATTTTGCCTAAACGGTGAATAAGTAATTAAATAAATAAACCAGGGTATTGCAGGTACAGGAAGCGACAGCGTCCAAAATACGTCAGAAACTCACACAAATGAGCAAATTCCGTGAGATTCCGCGTTTTGTACTGGATTCCATTTTGTCAATTCTGTGATCCAGTCTGTATTTTCCACATTGTGGAAATCATAGGGACTGACAGATCCCTGTCCTATTTTTTTTATTTTTTGTTTTACTGAACTGGGAAATTTTTTCCAYGTACCCCCTGTAATATGCTCGCGTACCACTAGGGGTACATGTGCCCCAGGTTGGGAATCACTGATGTATAATACGATCTCGATTATAATACGATCATTAGGGCTGTGTCTTGGCAAGAATTTGGCGATACGATACATATCATAACAGAGGGGTCACGATACGATATTTCCCGATATATTGCGATACTGTAAGCAAGGCAATATATTGCGATTTTTTTGTCCAAAAATTCTATTAAATAAAAACCTCTTACTGAAAAAAAAAAAGAAATCTAATGTTTACTTACAATGCTAATGCTACCCTTACTCTCCGGCGCTCAAGAGGTAGAGAAGCCAAATGGCTGGCTCACTGCTGCCAACTAGTGGTCAGAGTCGGGAAATGAAATATCGCGATATTTCAGTGTATCGATATTTTCTTACACCCCTAACGATCATCATATTTTGAGCTTAATAAGCATAAATGTCTAATTCACAATAACCCAAGTAGAACTACCCCCCACCACAACCACTTTATGGATGATTTTTAGGGTTAAATTTCTAGTATTATACATGAATAAACAGTAATCATATTTATATTTAGGCTAATAATCTTTAAGGAAAAATGTGTCGAACTTTTAACTGTCTACTGTGAGAAAGGAAACGCAGGCAAGTAAAAACTATGCGTGGCTAATCTCGTTACTTACCGACATTGGTGGGGAAGATGTTCTCATTGTTGATCTGTACCTCGATCCAGTCCATGAGCAGGCTCATGTATTTGGGGGCTGACAGGGCCGTCGGCCTCTTGTACTTGTGCTCGTCCTGCCAGCGGTATTCGTACTTGGGCCCGCCGGACATGACCGGGCAGGTCTGGTCGGTGCACGAGTCACTGATGGTGCCATAGATGAGGTTGATGCGGTTGAAGAAGTCGACCACGTGGACCGCCACCCAGTCGTTGAGGTCCTCGCCGTGGGGCAGCTGCACGGCCTGCTTCAGGTCCAGGCCCGCGTTCARGGACGCCTGCGCCTTCTTGTGGAGCTCGAACCGCTGCGTCCCGGGCTCGAACTTGCGCTTGGGTCGGAATGTCCTATCTTTGTTGAAGACTTGTTTCAGGGCCATGGACATGGTCGCATGTGGTGGTGCAGSGTAATTAGTTTGAACACCTTTGGTGAATTATTTACTAATGAAGCAGTCAAAGCTTAGTGTGAATGACCTGTAGTTGTGGAAGTCTTCTGGTATTTGTCTGAAACCAATCTGGACCCTGCACAAAAGAAAAATAAAAGGTTTAATACGGTTAATAATAAGGCTGTGTATTGGCAAGAATTTGGCGATACGATACATTTCATAACAGAGGGGTCACGATAAGATATATCCCGATATATTGCGATACTGTAAGCAAGGCGATATATTGCGATATATTGCGATTTTTTTTGTCCAAAAATTCTACTAAATAAAAACCTCTTACAGGGAAAAAAATGAAAAACCAAAATTCATTGTCTCA